AAGGTACATTGGGATAGCAAAATATGCCTTTCAAAAGCTAAGCAAAGGAATAAGAAACAGAATTTTATTAGAAACAAAGAAAAGTGTACTGAACTGTTATGTGATATCTGTTTAGAATTCACAGTGCTTTGTTATCCAAGTTTACAAAACTTTGTATAATGACAATAGATTTAACCAAGATTAAAACTATCTGTAAAATTTACTGAGTGATTGTTTTAGTTTTTCACTCAACTAAACTTTCTGCTTGGAAATGAGGAACCCATTAATATTCTATTTTTCAAGGGCATTTCCAATCAGTCAATTTCCTTAAAGAATCTTATAAAATCTAAGTAAAAAAAAAAATATGTTTATTTCTGTGTTGTCTTAACTATATTTTATGCATTCATTTTCATGCCAATTTTCTTTTTTTTTTTTTTTTTTTTTTTTTTTTTCATCAACCTATTATATCTAATGCCTTCCAATGATAGTTCAAAAGTGATTTAATCCTCTGCAAACATCAGTAGGTACAAGGAAGATAATTATGGTCAGTTCAGATTTCATCTGTCATATTGTTAATGTAGCCAGAATAATTTATTCTTCAGCCATAGTGGTTTAATTAACTTGCTTAATTTTTATTGAACATGATACTGGATAATAAGGTGGTTTTAAATTCAGTAGAGTGGATACTGAGAAAAGCAAAAATAAATTTAAAGAATAAAACATCAACTTGAAAAAACTTCTTTGATAAATATTCTGTATCATTTAGATACAAAAACTTTGATCCATTCTGCTTAGAAAAATTTTCTCTGCACATTTGCTCAAATAATCTCAGATAGGTCCAAAGGGACATAAATGTAGTAAATGAATGAATAAAACAAACTACATTATACTTTATCCTTTTTGATTTGTGTTTTCAAGTACTTTTCTACCATATATTTTCATCCAATCACAATTAACTTCATGCCTAACAGACTTGTTTAAATACTTTATATTTGACTCAGTTTAAACATTTCATATAAGTAATTTAACTAATAGTCATCTGAACTTTCAAATATTAAACAACTGTAGAAAATGGTTAAGTATATGGATCATTAATGAGTTTGAGTAGCTTGCAAAATCATAATTTTATGGATTCTCAGACAAGTTTTTTTGAATCCGATTTTTCTCATTAAAGTGTTTATAATATTCATTGAATAGTGTATATTTTACAACTGACTGTTTATAAGTATTTAGTTATTAGTAGTTCTTATCCAGTGCTTTTTTTAAATCTGTTTTTCTTGCACATAAACTGTTATCAACATAAAAGGAACATACAAAACATGATATTAAAGAAAATATAATATATATTTTTGTACAAACTTATACATTTTTTTTTGCTCAACATTAAATTTAATAAAATATTGGTTGCTGGTAACCAAAGTTATCAAATGATGGTTATTCATACCCATCAGCCAACTTGTACTTGAGCAATATTATTATTAATTAAAAACAAAAGCAATCTTAGATGACTATGAATTTTAAAACCTCTTAAGAGGTATATCAATTGTATCACTGATCTCAAAAGTTAAAATAATTATTACAAAGTACTTTTTTATATACAATATATAAAAAAAATGCTATTTTAATTTCTATCCTTCAATAAAACTTTTAACCACAAAAGTCTAGTAATATAAAGTAATTTTTTGAGAGTAAAAAAGATTGTAGTACATGAAACTCAGCAATATGTTACAGGACAAGAATATTTTATATTTTCATCAGTTCCATCAAATATAAATTTTCAATTAATCACTCATTAAAAACTTACCATGTTCATCATTGCTTATCTCTTGATTCTTACACAAAAACTGCATTTAGAAATGCAGGACATACATGTCCTTGACTTATTTAAGCTTTATTACGTTATATCATTCAGATTGTTCAAAACTCATTTTGTTTTGCTTTCTTAAATTTTCACAGGACAAATTTTTTAAAAAATCTTCTACATTCAAACATTACATTCTTGTTTTCACAGTGATCCTAAATTGTATGGAAACAAAACATTGATGATTGATGGGGTATCTTCTGTTATATCTCTCATATATTTTTTATTTATTTTATCGTACCTAATTTTTTTTTTTTTTTTTTTTTACAGCTTCTGACTATCTTTCCTTATAATTAGAATAAAGTTACTTTTTTAAAAAAAATGAAACATTTCTTGTACAAAGATATTTTTTCTTTTTAAATTTTCAATTGAGTCTATTGAATTATTGGAATGTGATATTGCATGATACTTCATATCATTTTCCAAGTCTGTGCCTTGGCAAGCAATGTAACTGATCTGCTCTCTTAATTTGTCTAGAAAGACTTCTGATTAGATTTTTTTTTTCACTTCAACTCCACACCCCAGAAAAACCTATACTTCCCAACTTCTAAACCTATCCTATCTTATAATCAAATAGCTGTAGTGAACAAAACGTTAGCAAATATTAATTCAAACCAGTTCTTACTTTGTAGTTTTCTTTTATTAGTATAATCATTTTCTTTTTCCATTTCTTTGCATTTCTGATACTATTTTTCCAGATCTTCACTGATGTAAAACCTTAAAAAATAATAGTTAAATAATTTATTTTGTTCTTTTTTATTTCCTACTTTAAATTAGTATATATTGCGGGGATGAAATAGTCACCATAAAAAGTGAAATAATTATAATAACAACTGTAATCTTATATATGTAATTTTAAATAGAAAATTTAAAAATTAAAACATTTTTCATTATGTGCTCTATTTTTCAAAGTGCTTTTATTAGAAAATTTTTTAATTTAATATAAAATACTAGGTAATAAAAAAAATAGATCTACAAAATATTTTATTTCTTCAGACACTTTGCTCAATTAAATTTACTTTTCTTTTAATATTGAGTTATAAAACATTGCTAGCAGCTCAACCAATGTTATCTAGCTAAAGAAAAACAGCTGCTTTTGGTTTTAAGATTTTAATTCTCTTTGAAAAGAATTAATGGAATTTTAATTTATAACCCAACATATTTTTATTACTTTAAACATTATTTTTAGTGGATACCTATATTTGAGTAGATGTTCCATTTATTATAAACTGTATTATATTTGCTTTGTTTACCAACCTACACATTTGAGAAAACTTAAAGAAAATGCACCTTCCAACAGGACTTAAACCTGCATCCCCCTTTGCAAGAAAAACGATCATTAGATCTGACATGCTTTGACCACTTGACTACAAAACGTTTCACAATCAATTAAGGTTCTATTTGCCTTTGAAGCACATTTTACTTATTCAGATTTTCTCAAGTTATTACTATCCGGTTTTGTATTTGAAACATAAACAAAGCAATTTCTAGAGAATTAATGGATTTTTAATTTATAATCTGACACAGTTTTATTACTTTAAATGTTATTTTTTAGTGGATACTCATTTGAGTAAATGCTCCCTCTATTATAAACAGTATTATAGTTCATCTACCAGCCTGAACATTCAAGAAAACATTAAAATATGCTTCAAAGGCGAATAGGACCTTGCTTGATTGCGAAGCTCTTCATAGCCAAGTTGTCAAAGTACTCCAGATTAAACGTCAGTTTGTCCCACAGAGGTAGATGCAGGTTCAGAATTCTACTTGGGTCACATTTTCTTTAATAAATTTTCTCAAATCTGCAAACCAGAAGACAATAAATACTGTTTAAAATAAATGGGGTGTCTACTCAAATATGGATATCTACTAATAAATGATTAAAGTCATAAAAATTCTCTTTTAGTAAATCGTGGTTTAGAATTTAAATCTCAGACCTTATAGTTTGCACACTAAAGTTTTGACAAATTTTCTGTTACTTTTAATTATACATAGATAATATATAGTCTCAATGTTTTATAATATTTGCTAATTCGTGACAAGCCAAAAACCTAGATTTCTATCATCCTGAGTATGTTCTATATCTGATAGAAAGGCATTTGATCAGGAGGTTTTGAGGAGCAGGGAACTACCTCTTAATTCCTGTTGTTCCTATAGTAAATAAAAAATAAAAAAGTACTAGCAATACATTATTGAAAAAAAAAATTACCAAAGCTCACATGAAAATTATATTTCGGCATTAAATGATTCCTAAGGAGTTGATATGCTGTTAAACAACCAAACCAAACCTACATTTTTAGACTGTCATCCTATCAAATTCTTCCCAATAGCCTTTTCTCACTCAAACAGTTATAGCCACCTAACTTAAAAAATTAAAACTGCTGAGCCATCATTGTTTAACCTTTTCTCCACAAGAACATCACTTGCTACATCCTCAAAAGCATAGATTGCATGAATAATTTTAAAATAAAGTTTAAGGGAGATAACTCAGGGTTCAGATTTTTAACTAGATTACAGATTTTGCCAGTTTTACAAGTCATTGCAAGTGGGTTCATATCTTGCTATTAAGCTAGATTAGGTTAATTTTGATATATATTCTGAAAATGAACACTCTACTGTGGTGCAGTGATTAATGAGCTAATGCAGCTGACCATTAATACTGGGTAGTGAGTTCAACCTTCACTGGGTGCCCCATATAAATAGCTTTAACATACTAAGCTCAGCTAATGTTTCTTACTGTCTGGTAATGGTTAACAAGTACACTGATGTGTAATAAGTTCATTCCTAACCAAGTACTCCAAAATTTGTTGCCTTGTGTAAAACTAGGCTAAACTTAATAAATACCAATATGCCCTGAGGATTGATTTCTCTTAATGCACATCTCTTGATAGAATTGGTTTAATGTGGAGCATTATTTGTTTCCCTACTCCCATCCTTGTAGATATTATATCCTAGCATTTAATTTCAAAGAAGTAGCCCTCCCTTCACTCTACACAAATACCCCTCCACTCTTTTTCTGAATATCTTCACCTGTAAAAGGTAAGTATATAAAGAATTAGTCTTTGAGAGATGAAGAGCATGTGACTTACTACTTGCCTTGGCCATTATTGCATCCCTGAATGATGATGATTACTAATGGCATGCTAACTACTACTACACTCAGGTGCGATGGGCGTGTCACTTGTAACATCGCTGCGGAAAATGATGTGTTTGGAGCTGACCCATGTCCTAGCACTTACAAGTACCTGGACGTGCATTACATATGTGAGAAAGGTAGGTTTTCCCTAAATTCTTTACTTGAAAAAAAAATGTTTCACTTTCATCAAGACCAGGATCAATCATCCTCACATACATGGATGGACATATGTATTTACATGTAGATAAATGCATAAATGTGTGTTGATTTACTACTGGATTCATTGTCATCATCTGAAACTTTAAATTGTCAGCAAGGACCATTTTTGGGAATTAGGCAGGCTCAGTCTAGGTACAAATATACTTTCTATCCAGATAACAGTTTAAGTTGATAAAAAAAAGTTCCTACAATTGAAAAAAAAAATAATATAAAATTTATTCCTATAAATTCATATTATTATGTCATTAAAGTGTTTTCCTTGGCTTTTCTATGATATGCTACTTTTCAACCATTTTATGTATTCAATCATAAAAGAATGATTCCTCACTGTAGAATTGTACAGTTTGTCCAAATTCTAGAAATTCATCATAAAGAATTCTTTGAATTTAAACAAACATTTTGGATCCTTATAATAAATCTTCCTTATTGCAAGTGACTATCTTTTCCAAAAGGTGTTTTCTGTGTTGAGCAAGATGTGTTCCTTTCAAAATGTTAAATGTCACTTTTCTAGCTTTAGAATTTTTCCTCATGCTTGTAAATGACATACTATAGTTGATTGATTGCACAAAATAATAAAGAGCTCATTGAAAATTTTAACATTATATAGATGGCATTGGATATTCTTAATGAACTTAAAGATAACTTGTAGCCACATTCTGAAGAGCAGCTAGTATATAAAAGAAAATATACTTAGAACAAATCAAATAATGAAATTAGTTACCTTTGGGCTTTTAACAACTAGCATAAAACTGATATAAATAAATGAAACCACAGGAAGATTGATTCATTTGCATATTATTGACACTTATTCACAGTGCAATGTTGGACATGCTGATCTTGTAAGCCATTTTGTTAGTATTATATTCTAATGTCATGACCTTTGGATTACTTCAGTGAATTAAAATAAATCTTTACTCACTGTGCTATAAAGTATTTGTTGTATTTACTTAGCTTAAAGAAAAGCACTTGTTTGAAAATAATTTTTTTTAAAGTAATTTTCCTGTTTATTTTTGCTTTTTCCCGGTTTTGGTCTTTGAGCCTTTTTAGGGAAGTTTGAAATTTTTGTGGATTTTCTTTGAAATAAATATCTGTCCTTTACCGGGTTTATATCCAATATCAAGAAATGTGACCATCACTTTTGCAAGGTTCTGTATAGAGACAGACTTCTGAAATATTGTTGATGGTAATAAAACAACTGTTTGCAGTTCCAGTTTTAGTACATTTAATAATTGGAATACTCAATAGTTAAGTCCAATGAACCGATTATTAAATATGAAGTGCTTATAATAAAACAGCTAATATTAGAAATATCTTAAACCAGAATTATAAGAACTACTTGATAATTGATAGAATACTTTTTAAAATATCTATAACATTTAATCTTGTGGCAGAATGGACCAAACTCCTAAAGTGAAAAGTCAATGCTATGAAATACAGAACATTGTAAAAAGACTTGTTTGACATAAATGAATAGTTGTTTTCTAACAAGGAATGATCAGAAGTTATTTTTCAACAGTACAACACTGCAAAAAATACCAAAAATTGGCTTGAGAAAAAATCCCTCAGACTTATGTTAGCCTGATCAGAATCCAGATTTAAAAACCAGGAGACATTTTTCAACTCCTCTTCAACTGTTTGAAGTTAATGAATGTAACAATGTTGACATTTTTCTAGAAAAAAATTATATCTGCAAGTTTAGCTACAAAACTTAAAAATTTAAAGCAATCAAACAGTAAAACTATGTTACTTAATCTATTTATTTAATTCCTTATTTCCTGACCAATGATTTAATATCAAAAGCTTAATATTTAAGAGGTTAGGTTGTGTAGCCATTCTTTACATGTGCTAATTGTTTAAAAAAATACAATGTCCTTTTTACCAGATCAAACCAAGAAATATGTTTTATTTCTACTACTTTAAATTTTAAATATTTTCCACTAATTAGATAACTGGGCTAGTAGAATCTAGCTTAGTTTATTTTGATACAGCAAAAAGCTAGGTAGATAGGGGTAGGAATATTGTGTTTCCAGTCTTTCAAGTAGAGAGAACCTAGAAAATCAGCATTTCAAATCCAGAGTTTACCTGGGTTCAAACACAGACTGCTGACACCAGTGAGAAATGCATAAGTATTTTACTTACAAACCAGTTATCAAAACATACACACACAGCTTTTTAATAGCTTCACATATATAATTGAAACTTATCCTGTATAAGCACTAAGTTTTAAGATAAGTATTGATTCCAGCTAAAACTTCAGGCAACATAAAAGTAGTTTATTGATGCAACATAGCTACAATTAAAGACTAGTTGTAAAAAGTAACTAAATAGCAATTGAAGAATGGTCAAAATAGTTGACAATGCCTAAAACTTGACTTTCAGTGGTGGCAATGAAATTAGTTGTTTCAAATGGAGCTGTTGTTTTTTGTTTTTTTTTTTTTTTAATCCTCAAGTTATTGTGTATATTTGTTTTTTTGAGTATTTACATATTTTTTCTGGTTATTTTTTTTTTTTTGTTTCCCTACCTCTATTTTTTTTTTCTCCATTTAAATGTTTTCTATTTGTTTTGAAAGCTTAATCCCCAAAATAGAATTTGTTTGAGAATCTCAGAATTTGCAATGGAAAGGTATTGAATAAATAAAAAAAATCTATAAGCCTTTTGTTTTAGGAAAGTTGGTCCCATTAATACTGCTATTTTTCTTTTGAGTTTAGTTTCTATTTAACTCATTTTCCTTATTTTACCAATTTTAGATGCTTAAAATTTCTTTTTCACATCGTCCAAATTCAAATATTCTTGTAATATTTCTGATTTTTCATTTGAATTTTTTCCTTTTAAACTGCAAAAGATAACTTACAATTTATATACACTTATATAAACATTTATTTCTGAAAAAGTGTAAATTTAATTTTCTATTTTTGCCTATTTGTAAAAATATTAGCTGACGTACACAATTTTATCTGATCATTTAGGTGGAACTAGTTTATTCTTGACAATAGAATTTCTGGTGAGCCAAGATAAGTACAAAAATCTAGCAGACTTGTGGAGACATAGCCAAGATTTTTCTGCTATTCTTTCAGAAAATTATTTTCTATTTTGTGTTTGTCAAGGAAAATTTTGTCTATTTTTTATACAGCCACTAATATCTACAGATACAAACTTTTATTAATGATGTTTTAAAATGGAATTTTTAAAAAATATTATGTGTATACTAACAATTGATGTCAAAGACTTGTTTTTATTATTTGTACAAATAAAGGAAGATATTTCTCTTTTCATGCTAGCTCTCATATTATGTATTTGACTGTGACTTAGTAATGAAACAATGAACATCTTAAAATTTGAAGTGTTATCTTCAAGGCTGTCCCATACTTATCATGAGAAATATCATCTATGAGAACTTGTTTTTATTATTATTATTATTTTCTGTTTTGCTGAACACTTTTAGTAAAAGGAAGCCAATTTAAAACAATGCTTTTTTCCCTACCAGATATAAGTTAAGCAATTTGCTTTCAAGTCTGTAAATGAGTAACTGTCAAGATGCTATGATTCCGAAATAAAAATTGATTTAAAATGAGGTCTAAATGATTTTTCTCAGTCAATTCAATATTTGTGACAGTGAATTATATCTTTTTTACAAGTATCTACATTGTTATAGCTTACTTAGAATAATTCTTTAGTAAATTGATTAGTATCTAAATTTTCACCAAATTTTACAGACACTATGATCTTTATTATGTTGCTAGAATATATTTTACTTGGATTATATTTTTATAGAATATGTGGTTTCATTCAATTACACTAGTTTCTGATTTTGATTTCACATTCAAGAGGTAAAATTGATGGCCATTTCTGTAAATATTGAGTACTAGCTTAAAAGCCAACCTATCAGGTAGCATTTAAGCTAGCTCCTGCAGAGGGCTCTTGATTGGGCCTTCTTCACAATAGGTAGGGAGGGAGGGGTAGTTGTGATAAGCAACAATAAACTACAGAAGAAATTGATCACTTCCTTTTAGTATTGCATTAATATATAAGCTTACTTTTTAAAAGTTCAACAATAGTTCTTCTGCCACCATTTAAAGACAATATACGTAGGTCCTTACTTTCTGTAAAAAAAATTTTTATTTCACGTGTGATTTCACTGAATTTCACAATTTCAATTATTCCCAAATTTATTTCCAAGTTATAAAAATTATCATACAAAAAAAATTTGTCACAAAAAAACAAAAAATCGCTGTAATGAAAACTTGGGAATCCAAAATTTCAGAATTGCAGATCTAGATCTGGCCCAGAATGTTTTTAATTTGCTCACAGAGTTGACCTGATTCCAAAATGGTATGATATGTTAGGCTACCGCCTCTAGGTGTAAAGTTGAAAACCTAGACAATTTTATTTTGAAACACTCTGATTTGAGAAGTGTTTTTTCATTTGAATGATTATTGAAAGTTACAGAATTGTGTCCCTTTTAGTTGAAAAAATGTGACACCGTGACATTCGCATTGATATCAATTTTTGATTTGTTCAGTCAAGTTGTGGCAGGTCATTATACTTATGCTTTCACACACATCTTTACAAACAAATCATATGAATGGGAAATACAGCTCCATATTCAGGGCAATTTCAAACACTTGAAAATTCTTCAGTTTCAGCCCATCCCCAGATGATTTTTTTTTCATCCAATTTAGTATGATGATGACAAGCAAAAATATATACCACAAAGCTTTCTTGAAAGATCTGTTCAAATTCCCCAAGAATATAAAATTGCATGAATATCAAGCCTGACTTTCTTCCATTTCTTTTGAGAATTTTTGTGCATTACCAACATAACTCTCTCTCTCTCTCTCTTTCTCTCTCTATCTCATTTGCATTTTTTATTCACATGTCTGCATTTGCTACTTAAAACTGCATGTTTGCATCTCTTGG